TGGGTTTGGTTCCTCCAAATGCAAACTAACATAATGCAGAAAAATCATTTACACGGGAATGGATAACTTAAATTTTGTGTGGTCATTTTCTTATGAGTTATGGTGGTAATCAAGCTTTTAAGTACAAAATATATGATAATTCGCAGAGAAAATTAGCTAGAATAATAGCAGCTCTTGTGATTACAGGATGAGAGCTCTTTGAAAAATCCTCGTTCCCCATTTTTACGCAGGTATTTGGCTTTGCCGTCAGAATCACTTGCCTTTACAGATTCCTCTATTTGCTTTCAAAAACGCCGCTACGTTACAATCCGGTTGACTGCAGCGCTCAGTGTTTTCTTCATTGGATGTAATGACCGACAGCGTTTTAGAACACGAGATAACGCCATTGTGACAGTAACAGTCGATACAGTCACCAATAGACCAGGTGCTTCCATTGATATATGTATTTGCATCCTCGTCCTGACACAAGGCATCTGAGAAACAAATCGTCAGCAGATAGGGACTGAAAAAAATCTGCTTTGATAGGAAATAAGTGAATTTAGAGAAGGAACCTTCCCCCCATCTCTCTTCATGTGGTGTTTAATCTTACAGTATTTCCCCCCAGGCTATTTTTGGCACACTTGCCTTGGAGATCCAGGCGGATCTAAAAATAGTAAATTCAATGTTGCTAATTCTGCTCACGTGCACATCCCATGATCCCACACGGCTTCTATGCGTTCTTCAGTGATACGTCAAGCAACACACTAAGTAATGTACATTGGTCTCGGAAGACCAGATACCTAAGTCTAAATATCAATATAACTTAAAAGTGATAACGTTTGAAATAGGGCCTATAAAGGGATACAGTCTCATTAACTTATTCTCTCTTAACTGTCGCTGACGTCTTTGCATTGGTTTTATTGCAAAGTTGCACAAACTTTTTCGTTTAATAATTAGGACATTTGCTCCAAGAGAGCTCACAAACTTTATGTTACACGTCCATTCTCGATAAGGGAATGTGACTAGGTTATAAAAGAGAAGGGGTCCGGTTGTTTCGATGAAATTCGATTCGATAGAGATCGATTCAACACATCGACAAAGTCGATTCAAAACACGTAGAAATTAAGTCGTTTCGATACAGCCTAAGTCAGTTCGATACAAACTAGTGAAAGATAAATTTGGACGTCACTACGGCAGTTGTTCGGCGATATAACTTGCCTTTTTTAATCTGCATTCATCGATCTGTCAATGACCTTTGTCTCGGTATTTTTATTGATCTCAAACGTCATAGA